ACTTTTGTTTTGAATGTGGTAAATTTGGTTCCCTCATGATGTCCCTGGGATTATTTGACCACAGTGTGGAAAATAAGGGAGTGTGGTTCAGGGACACCGAAGAAGATAATTTCAAGAAAGTGTGTGTAGGCACCACCGCCAAGCGCTGCTGCTGTAATGATACATGGTGATGGAGCATGGGAACCATAGGCAACATAATAAAAGCCTTCAAAAGAGTGTTTTGGTAGAAGAGTGATGTTAAAATGCAGAGTGAAGACGTGAAACAGGGCTGGTAGCGGGCATTGTATTAAGACAGAGTAGTAAGCTCGCTCCTGTGTTCACAAGAGTAAAAGCAGTTGCCAGTGCTGCTTTTGTATAACCAAGCACCATGAGACTTGGTTTCTTCATGTGAAGGTTTAGTGTCATCATCATCAAACACCTCAGTTATTGGCCGAATGGAGTTAGTGCTCTTGTAGCGTGTGGGCGGCAATCCACTGGAGGTCCCACAGTTGGTTTCTCTTGGCCTGGAGCAGCGGAGGGAGGAATAAGAAAAGGCAATGGAATGTGTGGCTGATTTTCCTCCTGATCCATGCCTTGGTCAAGAGACCAGAACAGGGTGGTGCCTTTCGACCATGACTGGATATTTTAATCCAAGATTCCATAGCATGATCCTTATCAAACGGGAGTGAAAAACAGAACAATAGTTTGATTCCAGTGGAATCCAGTCTTTCTGGAACCGCGGAGTCTGGTTGAACCTTTGAAATTCCTGCCCTTCAGACCTTAAAAAAACAGGAATATCCCCCGAAGTCATCTTTAATCCAATCAACAGTTTAATCAATTAAGAATATCTGCCTTAGAATTTGTGCTTTTCTGTAGAACTATCTTTAACGAACCATCTTGCACAACCTGAAAAGCTTGGGGAGAGACTTAGTTGTCATGAGTTTCTGTTAATTGTGGGGAAAAATGTTAATGTTTAAAGTGTTAATTGTGCAGAAAAGGAAGATGAAAACAGGTGCGAGGCCTGAAGCATATCATCAGTTTCACTTAAATGTACATGTAGAAATTATTAAGTTGGTGTACCTCTGTAATAAGAAAAATAAAATATGTAAATCCTATTTTAAAATAAAGAAAGACATAGTAGTATGGTAAGAAGACACTGTAGGTTGGTGGCTCCTTCTAGTTAGAATATTGAAAATAAATATTAAATAGTAAGAAAAGTCAAAATTATCTTACTCGAATGTACACCAGAAGCATCTGTTTGCTGTAACACATTTTTATGGAACCCGCCCCCAGAGCTTCAGACTGTAGGCAAACATGGAGCCTAAAATCTACGTCTGTAACTTATGTTCAGTGTTGCTGCTACTGCTCTTTTGTGAGTAAATCAGGGTTCCTTAGCCACAACATTATGGCTTTTTTGGAACAAATCACTTGGTATTGTGGGGGCTTTCCTGTGCATTGTAGGATATTTTCAACATACCTGCTACTACTCGCTAGATGCCACTAGCACATGCCCAGTTGTGACAACCAAAAGTGTCTCTAGGCATCCCCGAATCTTATGAGAGTTAAAATTGCTTCCAGTCGAGAGTCCCTGATGGACAGTTCCGCTTATTGGGAGGCGTCACTGTGCAAGCAAACCCACAGCACCAGTAGAAGGGCATGGTCTGGAACATAGTGTATGTGGAACAGTGACCAATGGGAGAGAGCCCACCAAGGGGGTAATGCATCCTGAGTTGGGCGTTTGTTACTGGGAAATTAAACTACTAGATTATAATGAAAGGCTGTTCCTTTAGTTCAAAATGTACTAACCATGGGCTATCAAGCTGGAACTAACCTCACTGTAATTCCAGGCTGTTTCCTGGATTCTATATCCTGGTACTCCAAGAATGGTGTTTAGTAAATCATCCTCAATTGAGACCCTCAAGGCGATGGATTGACAAATATGGCAGCAGTAATGAGCGCCAACACAGCAACTGTGAGGACGGTGCAGCACCAGGCAGCGTTTCATTCCGTTACCCAACCGAATGGACTGCACTTAACTATAAAACAACATCCTCGATTGATGACTGTCTCTTCTTCTTTTAAGACACAGGCTTCCAGGAGCACAGCCTCACTTATGCTTGTATCCTCCCTTGTGACTTCATCAGAAGGTCCCTCCATTTGTGAGAGAAAGAAATATTCTGGGCTAGGTGAGTAAGTTTCAATATTCCACAACCAAATATATTTTTAAAGACAAAAGTATACAATGGAACATAATGCATGGAGATCTTCCAGGGCCTATGATTATGAACCTTTAGGCCTTCCACTAGTAGCTGTTTACAGAAATCATTACAGCCAGGTTACTCGAATCGAGGCTCAAGGACAAGCCGCATCAACCAGCCACGCCTGGTGAGCAAGCCGGAAAGGCAGAATCTTTAAACTCCATCACAGATCTACTCTTTCAGGAGCTATCCAGGTGATTATGTGGATATTAAAGTTTGAGAAGCATGGATTTAAAGTCCTGAGTCCCTAGTGATGCATATGTGCTCAACTGATAACCTGCAAGTTGAACGTTCAAATCCACCTCCAGCCACCTTAGAAGAAAGGGCTGGCTACATGTTTCTGAAGACCCAGCCACTGGAAATTGCATGGATCCCAATTCTACTGACACACAGGAGTTGCCAGGAGTTAGCATCAACTCCAAAGAGAACTATTCATTTGGGGGTGGGGGTTGGGGTTTATATAATAATTTTACATTTAGCAATTCCTAGACATTTTGCTTTGTGACATTGACGGTAAGCTCCACAAGGTAACAGAGCACTCTCCCTTTCTTTTATATTTTCACTTGTCCTTTCTTATTCCTGTCCTTGGAACTCTAACCCTGGGCAAAGGCTGCCCCCAGACCTCGTATGTGACCTCCCTTAGATAACTGTTCACCCTATAAGCTTTCCTCCTATTTGGCTGAAGGTTGACCTCGGGAGCAAATTCAGTTCCAGGTTTCCTGGGTTACGAGTAAAGGCCATAGTCTTGAGGTGCTCTGGGACGTAGTTTGAAACAACCAGCTGCTACTTGGGAGAAAGATGAGGCTTTCTACTTACATAAAGATTTAGTCTCAAAAACCCATAACTCTGGCTTATAAGGTTTCTTGAGTCAAAATTGATTCGATGGTGGTGAGTTTGCTTTTTTGCAAAGGCCAACTTCTGGGAGGTCCCATCAGTCTGTGAAACCAGTAAGCCTGCTCCCCCCCCCCTTTTTATGAATTTGAATTTTGTTCATATTTTCCTCATATTATGTCCAGGACTTTCTACTGCGATCCCTTTCAGAGTAAATGGCCTTGGTGGCCAGGCACCATCTAGTTCTTCCGGTTTCAAAGATGCATGGAAACAATTAGTCCAAAAGACAAGTGGAGCCCATAAACCACAGCCTTCCATGGCTTTGGTTTGTTTTTCAAGCCTCTGAACTCACTGTGACCTTCAGAGCCCCCAAGGCATTGCACACTACTGCTAAGAAAAGGAAGTTTGCATTGAATTATTTGATTTTCACAAATAAATGTCCATCTTTAACTTTACATTGAAACTCTAAAAAATGCAAATCTGCTGTTGTTCTCCAAGCCACGCAAACAGAGGTTACTCCATGTCATCAAGTGCATTCAGGTTCACAGCAATCTCAGGTTAACAGAGTAGAACTGCCACATGGCTTTCTAGGCTGTCCTCTTCAGGGAAGCAGACCTTGAGCTCCCTCTCCAGGAAAACCCGTGGGGGGCTTTGAACTGCCAGCCTATTGGCAAGCAAGCCCCTAATCAGATGTGACACCAGGGATCGGGGCTCCTTAAGCACTGAACTCCTTCAGCGCCCTAAAATCTAGTAAGTCAATCAGTGAAATGAACCCTGGAATTTCAAACTAACCTGCTTCCCCCACTGACCTCAAATGGGTCTCAGAAGAGGTTTAACTTTTTAATAAACACAACTTAGAAACTATGAACCTTCTCAGGTCTCGGAGATGATTACGAAGGATCCTATTTGTTTCCAGGGCTTGGAAGCAATTCATTCTGGCTGGGCCTTCAGCTGAGACTTTGCATCTCCCACCCAGAACAACTGAATCAAAATCTAGTTTAACAAGATCACAAGAGGATTCCTAAAGAGATATTAGGCTCTATAATTTATTTATAGATAGTATACATTATATACAAAGATGTTACCTGGAGGCCTGGTTAAACCGTAGATTCTGATTTAGTATATGCAGGGCATACAAACTAATTCTAAACAAGGTGGTTGAACAAACACTCGTTTGAAGCCTCAACCTCTTCTTTATCTCAAGCATGAAGTGCTTATTCACCCCAGATGTGAGTCTCCCACTTGTTAAGGGCGTTCTGAGTTATGCTGCAAAATTACAGAAGACACACATAACCTGCATTGTGCACGGCTGACACAGAGGCCACCACAAGGATCGCAGTCAGAGTAACAGTTGTGACTGTGGCTCAGGATCTGGAAGTGTTTCCTTCTGTTGGGACAGGGTCGCCATGGGTCGGAACCGATGCAATGGGACCTAGCAACAACAACAACACGATTCTGCAAGACTGAATTTTCATCTTGTAATTAATATGTTTTTTAGGTAGCTGTCTTCATCAGATAAGTTTGCCGGTGTATAAGTAAAATGTCAAAAATTAACAACATCCCTGAAAGTAAAAACACGGCTCACCTAAAATTAAAATTTACTCATGTATCTATATATAGCTTATCTTGCCTTTCCATAAAAGGATTCGAGACATGCTCCTAGATTAAAAAAAAAAAAAAAGGATTCGAGGCAAATATATATAATAAATCATAAATCAACTTGCTAAGGAAAACCTGGGGATCTTTTCATCTCTTTCCCTGTGGATGCTGATTAAAAATGTCTCACATTTTATCATCTAGAAAGTAAAATCATAATAGTCCTCTGTCTCCCAAAGGGCATCCCTCTGATAGATGGATTTTGTAAAAACATCAATGTCCTACCCCAGCCCTCCAAAGCACAAAAAATAACTCGAAATCATCAGAAACAGACAATTGGCATTATTAATAGTGTCTTTAATTTACAAAGAATTATTTTTATTTGGCTGCTTTGGAAAATCACTAACAGTTGTAACTTTATAAAACATTAAATAATAAACAAGATGATGTTATACAGTACTTTGGATAACTTCTTCCATCAGCTTAGTGCAATGTATTATTGGCACCTAAAAGTGAAAGTTTTAATTATTTCCCCTTTTCTTCTTCAGCTGTGCAGTTACATGACCAAAAAGGAAATTTATCATTAAAAAAAATGGATCTAAGGCCCTATTTTCTGGACCCTGCTCAAAGGCTCAATGATTGAAATTCCCCTTCTAATCTACCCACCCCTCCCCGCCAAGTTAAATTACAAAGGCCTTCTCTCACTTGTTCTCTCTCACACCTACACAGACTAGGGTTTCGTGGGAGCTGAGAGATTTCAAATCTCAAGTGAAAGTGAATTACACTGATTTCGTGCAGGGAAACCTTAGGCAGTGCAGTATTTCAGTAGTCAGGTTAATTTCTCGCATACGTGGCACAGAAATGCCCCAGGAAAAAACACAACAGCTCTGAACTGCGTCCCTGGACCAAGGTCTCTGAAAATCCCAATCTTCTTCTGTTGACCATGTTAAGAGGCAGCACAACTTTAAGATATTACTAAATATTAAAATACCAATGCTAATCTCTTTGGAAACCAACAGTTTCTTTCTTTTCCTTTTTTCTTCTCCTTTTGCTTACCACTGTGGGGTTAACATAAGGGGAGCCCTATTTTAGTGGTTGGCCACTTGGTTGGCCCCTTGTGGCCCTTCTCGATGACTCACTAGTAGTTCAATGAGGAAATGTCTAAATTAGATCCTGGCCTAGTCTAAAGTACTTTGTCCTTAGAGTGCCTCTGCATTCCTATTCAATGAATTATGATGATCAAAATATTTGGAGGGAAATGCATTATTTTGACTTTGAGGTAAGAATATCTGTAACCACCTTAAATACGTAAGGTTTTATTTCATTTTTTAGAAGCCTCCAATAAAAACATTCACCCTTTTGATAAAGGATTCTACTTTAACAACGGTCCCTGCCAGGAAACGCTCCCTCATGCTCCAGACTAAGCCTGTTTCCTCTCCTGCTATTCTTAGTGCTTACGGAGAACAGCTGGTGGCCATCCTCCCTGGTCCAACCCATCATATACTTGAAAACCACCAATGGTTTGCCCCTCAGTCATCTCTTCTCCAGGCTGAATAATCCTAGTTCCTTTAAGTTTTCATCACAGATCTTTTTTTCCAACCCTTTAATCATCTTTGTGAGTCCTGGTAAAACAGCAGAAAATAGTTTGATTACTTGAGCAGAATTGGAAAGATAAAAAAGCTTCAGGAGTAAATTGCTTTTCAGAAGTTATATATATGTATGTAAGTGTACAGATACACTTACATGTGCATACATAAGTAGTTTTATAAAGTAAACTCTACAGGGAGGAAGTACGGTTGGGGGTTCATGGACCTTAGTTAAGACTTCAACCTTGTCTTGCTCGTTATGGTTAATCTCAGTCCATCATCCAAAGCCTGAAAGAATAGGTTTACTTGCTATCCCGTCCTGATGTGTTAGCACACACGTTATGAACTCGGCCTGCCTAAATTTATATTAATAAGAATGAACGTGAAATCTGTCCAAGAAGCATCCCTTCCCTCTGCTTCCATGCATGAATCGAAGCACTTCCGTAAATCCAGAAAGTTTACCAAGCTTCTTACATATTGTCAGAGAGCCATGTCACGATGATAAAAGCTGCTGTTTTGAAATTGTAACCTAAAACAGGAGGGTTGTATGTGTTCGCTCTCATTTCTTGTCGACCTGAATGGTTTGCTATCCTTTGTAGAGATCAAACTCTGTATCGTTAAAAATGAAAACGTCATCACTTCACTACAGCCATCGGACACTTCTTCCAATGTTCATTTGCTGCCGATGTAAGGTCCTGAAACTGGATGGCTTTACACCATGTGTCCTTTGTTCACTCGAGAGATCACAAGCTGCCTTCTACCTTGCAACTAGAGTCGGTAAATATCAGGATCATGTAAGTACTAAATATTGATAGCACATTTACACAAAACACACTACGACTAACGAGGATTCCGTGCCCACTCTGCGTAATTGTCTTTAAAATAAAATACAGATAACAAGGTCAGAATAAATGCATCTTGGTATGTTACACACCCTTCTTGTATCAAGTAGGTGGCAGCAAAAGTCAAGAGTTCAGGTCCAAGCCAGAACTCACTTAAATGAGGAGGATAAACCCATTTCCCAAGCACAGTGTACAGCGCATCTTAAGAGGAGTCATCAATACTACTCATGGTACAACACTGAACACACAGCAAGATGGCCATTAGCACAGAAGCTTTCTTTTGAAAACTTCTCTCATAACGTGTTACAAGGAGCACCTTTTAACCTTTTCATGAAGGGTGGTGTGGGTCACACATGCGAAGGCCTTCCTAGAAGCGACAGGACGGAAGGTCACACAACAATGACTGGGATGTGTGTAGCTACCCCTTACATTCAAGGAGGGCTTCACTGTTCACTGGAATTGCACAACAACAGGCAGCAAGAGGTGGGTCATCGACCAGCCTTTCCCCGGACCCACTCTTCTCCTAGGCCTGACACGAGGGAGGAGAGGAGGTGAGGATGGGGCAGAGAAGCGAGAGCAACACAGGACGCCAGTGCTACTTCTGGAGTTGCTAGGGTTCTTCAGAGCAGCGGCCTTTTTTCAAGCTCACATCGTCCAATCCAATCTCCCCCGTGTGACCACGCCTTTTTTCACCTTTGAAGATGACCTAGGGAGAGAACGCACACACCAGTCAAGCCACCTCTGTTCCTCTCCAGCGCCCGCCCATTGCACGAATCTTCTTTCACAGCTAAGGATTAGACGTTCTATCCAAGGAAAAGGCTCGAGCACACCCACCTGGGTCCCTGATGAAGCAGGGCATGCTCTGGGGGGAAATGGAAATCACCAAGTCACCTGTGGACCAGGCCACAGCACGCAGAGCTAGGGAACCTTTCAAAAGCTGGTCCACTTCTGTCATTGATTACCAAGGTCAGAAGGCAGAAGAGGGGGGTGGGTAATGAAGGTGTGGACATTCAGAGGCAAAGATCTGGAAGATCAAAATTAGGCCGCCTATCTTAGAACTTTCCTCATCCTGCCCTGTGGAGTTAACCTGGTTTTGCTACTTAAAATTGGGGGGTGGGGTGGGGTGGAAATCAAGCATCACCATCTAATCCCAATGTTATCTATGTAAAAATCAAAAACTTCCCCTATTCTTATATATTTATCTTCTATAACGCATCCCTGGTTCTTTAAAAAAAATTTTAAAAGGAGAAAGATTTCAGTGCTATGACTTGAAACAATTGATTATCTTTATTTCTCCAAGCAATATAAATATCAGGGAAAAATTAGAAAAAAAAATCAGACCGTAAACCAAATCCAAATATCACCACTACAGTTTGAATGAACTCTGTAGAGCTTCTTGCTAGAATTGTTCCTACAAACGATACATTGAGGCCCAGGCGCAGGATCTTCTAATAACAAATATTGTTCCAACATCAACACAGAAAAGACCTCTCCAAATACAGCCATGATCTTGTGTACATATGTAAACTATATACATTCAATCACAGATTTCGCCACATTTTGTCCTGAGTTGAATAGGACTTGCTAAGGGTATTTTTCTAGCTTCCCACTCAAGGCTGCTTAACTGCAGTCGCTGCGGTCGAGGCAAAGAAAATGGAGCTTTAAATCAATCAATCCAAAAAGAAAGACGCGAGACTGCCAGGGTCAGCTATGACGGGCATCGTTGAAAATGCAGGGGATGAAGGAGCAGGTCAAGCAGGTCCAGAGAAACTCGTGACTCCCGCCCTTGGATATTTGTGTTGTTTCTAAAAACTTACTCTATTCCTAAATTTGCTTTCTCCCCACCCCATTTTAAAAAGAAAAGGGGGAAAGGGGTGGCCATGGTAGTCATAGAGTATATAATGAAGAAACAGAAAGGAAATTACATTGAGTGACGTCATCACACCCAGAAACAAACCAAAGCCCTTCTTTTGTGTTTAAATTAATGAAGAGACAGGCTTCTTCATTGCCAGACGCCAGAGTCCTCCTCTGAAAGGAAAACTGCCTCCTTCGCAGTGCTACTTACACTCTTGACGTCAGCCCCTCGCAAGGTGATCTGGGTATGCCTCCAGCCATGGCCACCATTTCTTCCCCACAGGGCTGCTCCGTGGGCACCGTGCTTCCTCACAAACACTTGGAGTGCGCCGGAGTGCAGCCCGGTCACCTTGTGCCTGAACGACAGGCACAGGTCCCCTGAATGCATGAGGTGGCCGAGAGGTAGGACCAAGCGCGCAGCCTTTCCCCCTGGGCCTTTGGCTGCTGAGATGGTCAGATATTGTCCACCTGGAACGGGAAAAGCAGGGCTGTGTGTGTCCATGCCAACATCCCTCTCGATCATAAATAGTACGGACAGGAGTTTTACAATTTTGCAGTTAAGAAGTTGTACACTTGACAGCTATTTATGTGAGAGAGAAAAAGAAGTAAAATAGGCCTGATTTCTCTGCATGTCTTAAATTCTATGGTGTAATGTTTACAGAACACATTCTTTTTTTTTAAATCATTTTATTGGGGGCTTGTACAACTCTTAACACAATCCATAATACATCAATTGTGTCAAGCACATTTGTACATTTGTTGTCATCATCATTCTCAAAACATTTGCTTTCCACTTGAGCCCTTGATATCAGCTCCTCATTTCCCCCTCCCTACTTACTCCCCCCTACCTCATGAACCCTTGAAAATTTATGTTACTATTATTTTGTCATATCTTACACTATACGACATCTCCCTTCACCCACTTTTCTGTTGTCCATCCCTCAGGGAGGAGGTTACAAAGATCCTTGATTACAAGGATCTACATATAACCTCCTCCCTGGGGGATGGAGAACAGAACATGTTCTTATTGTTCTTAGAGAAGGTTGAAGTCATGCCAGTAACTAGTAATGCAAAAGCAATGGGATATGATCTTAGACATGGACATACACGAGCATGCACATTCACCACCTCATAAGCTCCACCAGTTTAAGGCTGAGTTGATTAGGTTGGGTTAGGCAGAATTTCCTATGTGGAAAGCTAACCTTTAGGCAATCAAGTAGATGCTCATTTAAAACCACCAGCTAATCCGTGGAAGACAGATGAGGCGTTCTACTTCTACATAAAGATTTATAGTCTTTATAATCTACGGGGGCAGTTTTCTGTCCTGTAGGGTGATGATGAGTCAGTACAGACTTGATGACAGGTGAGTTTGTTATTAACAATTGTGATGTTTTTTGTTTTAAGCATCTTCTCCGCTACCCAGTCCCCAGTGAGCTCCCATTAGATCTCGTGGGTGACTTCTGTGTCAGCTTGTGTGCTAAATGCTTGACAGGGGACATCCCATTTAACCCTTGGTCTGTCTACTGGCTTCACAGTTCTCTGGGGCTTCTGAAGTCAACTCTCTTGCTATATTCTTTTCTCTTCTGAAAAGGTGAGTCACCTAAGGTGTCATCCAGCCGATGGGTGACCGACAGGTGGTTTGAACTTCAAACTGCTTGGCCCCTCCACCCCACGTGCTATGGTGGTTTACATGTTTTATATTCTTCAGGGGTCTTTGAACTCCTTGAAGTTGGAAGCAACTTTCCGCCAAAGCTATGCTATTGCAACGCTTGGCATATGGTAGGTGTTTACGGCTATTTCTGGAACAAATGAATGATGTTCTCAGAATCCAGCAAAACTGCAGAGAATTGGGTCCTGAATTCATGGACTTGACAAAAACAAACAAGTACAACACTTTCTACCATTTCCCCTGGTCCTCAGATTATTTAAACCAACATTTAGGGTCAACAGATGTACATGGCCTTTATGATCTCCCCATAAGTCAGCTTTTGAATAATCTCGACTATTTTAGGTAAGATATATGATTATTATAGTTAACCAGCCATTTTGCGCAGGGAAGCACACCACAAAGATTATTGTCATTCTTCTAGAGAGTTCCTGCTAACGAGACAAGTTAAAAAATGAAGACATCCTAATACAAGTTTTAAATAAACCTTTTGCATAGGTATTTCAGACTCTACGTTTAAAACACAGTGAAAGAGGTTATGATAGTTTTTTCTCTAAAGAGCTGCCCTGTGAGCGTGCAATTAAGTTCAAGATTGACCACACTACATAAAACTACATAGCCACCCAAATGGGCAGTTAGACAGTACACATTTTTTTCACCTCCTTCTCAATGTTTTAGGCTATTTAACTGAGAGTTTTCTTAGAGATTTCAGCATATAACAATATTTTTCAAATCTGTATCCTGGGAAAAAGATGTACAATTAGAATCTGTCATATCAGTAGAAATACAAACATGTTCCTTTAGAAATATAATATTTGGATAGGAAAAAACAAACAATCAGGTTAGAAATTAAAATAACACAATAATTTTTTTTAATTGTTTATATTCTTCTCTGATTTTAGCATACAATAATACACTACACACCAAAACATAACCCCACCTGAACTTCCCAGAGGAATAAATAAAGCCTGTGAAAATGTCAGCTGTACTTCAGCATAGTTCTACAAGTTTATGGTTAAAGGATTTATCGATAATTCCATGCCGGCCTGGTTTTACCACACACACCTAACCCTGCTTCTAATTCTGTCACATCTTAGTCTTCCAGCCAGCTAAGATATAACCATCTAAATTACAACCTGTTCTCAGATTTCCTGGGGAACTCCACTCTGAATCAGAGGCTCTCAAAGCTGACTTAGATTTTCAATCCAGTCTTCATCCAATGCTCAAAGCCTTTTAACAATATCTTCCCAAGTGTCAACCAGTCAAGGATCAATATCTCCATAAACAAGCAAAGAAACAAACCCTCCACCTTCCACATCAGCCTGGTCTGTTTTTAGATAGTTCTGGTTCCCTGAGAGTGAAGTGAAACTCCTTGTAGGTGACTCCTTCTCATCATGCCATGTGGCCTCAGCGACCAACCTACAGGATGGTCAAAGGGCAGTCGGACAACGATCGAAAGCAGCTCTGCTCCACCACGCCTATTCCAGGCTAAACATCCCATTCCTTGGTCTGCTTTTCAGGAGCCTCATCACACTTACCGTCGAATCACTCTCCTCCGAGTGGCCTGCTCAGGTGCTTTACCTCTACACTTCGTGGGTAAGAACGAACCTTCACACATGCTCTCGCTAACCTGAAGGGAGCTGGGGTCACCCTGGTCTCATCCAGGACAAATACCGTATTTCTAGGAAAAGAACTTTTTGGTAGCAGTGTCACAGCATCTCACTCAAGTGAATCGCCCTCTCTACTGTAAGTCTGCGGGCTTTCACACTGACTGCTAACCGATACCGCTCCCCTCCCAGAGCCCATGGGCAACACACCTTGTACTCATTCCCATCCCAGCCTTTTAACTGTGACCCAGGGACCTCATCTTTTGGGTCCTACTTATTTCAGTGTCCACAGCCACGTTCCCCTCTGGCCTTGAGTCATCTACAGTTTAGTGACCGTGTCTTCAATGTCTTTGCCCAAGTTATTAGTAAAAACTTGGAGCAAACCTGGAAGAGTGTCTTCTTGAGCAAAAGGAGTCACCCAATCACCCATGAAGCCATCAATGCCTCTCGATTTGTGCTGTGCATCACAGCATAATGATTATAACAAACTTTTTTGTTTATTATTTAAATCATTAGCTCTCTTGCCACTTTTTTCCCCACTAGAGGGAAAGGGGGATTTGGGTCACAAAAAATTTAAACATTTATAAATGTGTTGAAGAATTTTTTTAAAAGGAAAAGTACTAAATTGATTCTAGATATAGTATTTAAAGTCTAAAGATCAAGCATTCTATGATCTACACAGAATGATTTACCAACACAGAGTAAAACAACATCTAATTTTATCATTAATTGCTCTCCTGAATGTACCTTGAGTGAGTTATTCATTATGATGATGAACATTACTTATCATTCCTCACACATGACTGCCAAAGATCCTTCCATCTGTAGCAAACTTCTCTAGGTCAGTGGTCCATCAAATCTACTGGCCTGTAATCTGCTAATCAGATCATGCATTCCACCACAAGAAAGCTGAGGTCAGACTGTGGGGTAGCAAAAAGCCCAGCATCTCCCAGACACTGAAACGCCTATGAGACCACAAGGGCATAAGTCAGAAGCCCAGACTTTGACACTAAATTCCATTATCCGTAGCTTTAGGAAATTTGTACAACCTCAGTATTTCCTTTATGAAATAAAGACAGTATTACCTGCTTCATAGCATAGATTCAAGTTGTGAATAATATTAACAAAAGGATGGATAAGGCAGGACTCGATTGTAAGGAGCCCAGATAGCATAGTGGGTTACACGATGGACTATTAATTGCAAGATCAACAGTTCAAAAACCACTAGGCATTCTATCAGAGAAAGATGAGGCTATTTCCTCCCATAAAGATTTACAGCATCAGAAACCTTAGGGAGCAGGGTTAAACTGTCCCTATAGGTCACTCTGAATCAACATTGACTTGATGCAGTTGGTATAGTAAATATTGTAAATCCCAGAGAGATACAAATGGTTTATGCTTGATGGCTAACCTAGAGGCGGTCAGTTCTAATCCAGTTAGCAGGACTATGGAAGAAAGGGCCTGGCTATTTGCTTCTGTAAAGATTACAGTCCCGAAAACCATATGAAGCTACTCTACTCTGTAACACATGGGGCCACCACGGATTAGACTTGTCTGGGCAGCAAAGAGATTTGTTGATTATCTGCAGTAAACATTAAGTAATAGGTTCTCTCTTAACCACATATGTCTGTGACATTACTCACGCACTGTCTTGTTCAGAATTAACCTTACATGAGCGAAAAGGTAACCATAAGAAGAAGATGGAGAATGAAGAACCTGGTGTGTGTGTGGAGAGGGAGAGGGGACATTAAGTAGTATTTGATTTCATAGCTAAAAGAAAATGTAAAGACCATTTAAATCTATGGAATATTCTTGGTTTTAAAAAGTTGATCTCAAATTTCATTAAAAAGATAATTTATATTTTAAATTTATAATTTAATCTTATTAACTCAAATGAATATTATTTTTAGAATGATCTTTTAATACTTGTTTACTCAGTAAGCAAACTGAGGACCAGCACCAAGAGTATCTCAGAGAGATTTCAGAGTCTCAGGCCCTAAATCAGATGTACTATCTCAAAAGCTGCATTTGAAGAATCTGTGTGTCCAGGTAACATGGACACACAGAGAAGTGGGAGAAGAACTGTGTTAACAGATCTAAAGCTCTCTCAAATTAATCTCTGTATGGTTTGTGCATTACCTATATAACAGATACAGAGTTTAAGCACTAGCCTTGGAGGCTAAATTATACACTTCAAGGTTTTCCTTCATGTCTTGCATCTTTCAGAGGGGTAGAACCATGAGTAAAAAGAGGGGTCTAAAAAAGAAATAAAGAAACAAAATTCTTTACCTTCAATTGTTGGTCTCACCCATTAAAGATTTGATTACTGGGGTGGGGGAGGAAGAAAACCAACAACAATATGTAGCTTTGCTTCCTAAAACTAGGAGACCAAACATCTTTTGGGAACTGAAATGTTTCCTCAGTAGAAAGTAACAAAGCCCACATGGAAGAAGCACACCAGCCTGTGTGATCATGAGGTGCCAAAGGGATCAGTTATCAGGCATCAAAGAACAAAAAATCATATCATTGTGTGCTCACCTCCATGATATGATTGCTGAAGACAAATGGGTGCATAAGCAAAT